GAATGCTCTCTAACTGGGCTGTTTCTTGAATAAAGGAACTTGTATGACCACAGAAAACTAAAAATTTGCATTTAGCAATTGTTCGTTTAGCAAATTCAGCACTCTTAAAAGAAAATGAGCTTTACACAGAAATAGTAGCTTATTCAATTGTTTACTAGTTTCTGAAGCCAGCGGCAAAATATTTAGCAAACCTAATACTGAATTAAAATTCATTTATTTTTAAAAAATTAAAATATTCATAAGCAATATTTAAATAACCTCATTATTTAAAAGTATATTATTTCATCTTTTTTCATGACATATTTACCACAAAGTGTATGTTTTGTATAATCCTGCCATCAGAATCATCTCAAAGCAAACAGAACACATGAAACTTTCTTAAAACAACTTTTAAATATAAAATCGGTCACTTGACACATACTCAAAATTAACAATTTACAGAAAAAAACGCATTTAACTCCAAAAACCTCAGAAGAAATTGCATGCAAATACTCCTAAAATGAACTGGATGTGCTATTTAATGGGGTATATATAGTATATAGTACTATTCTCCAATAAGCCATTAAAAACTATTTATCAAAACTATAGAGACATATTCAATTGTGGACATAATAGCACAGTATCTACCTTATCTCAACCATATTTAAGACAGGAGAAGACAACTTACGGGTACGATTCTGAAAGCTGCTGAGCTATGCTATAAGCTGTGGGGTCCCTGTCCAGTGCATATATCATGATGTCGCTGGCTTTCTCTAGAAGAGCTGTAGTGTGACCACCGGCTCCAAACGTCATGTCAAGGAAACGCTGTTGAGTGAAAGATAAAACACCTTTACCTTTCAACAACAACAACAATAATAATAATAATAATAATAATAATAAATGTTTGTTGATTTAAAGCTGCTTTTGCTGATTTCCTCACATGGGGGAAAACATACCATTCAGTATAGTCACAGCACAGCAAGTCTCAAAAGGAGGAAAGAAGGAGAAGGGCAGCTGAGATAAACACTCCGGAAAGGTGAAAACTGCTCTCCTGGCTATGTGGTTTCTGCAGGCTCATTCTAGAGGTTTCTGTAGTCAGAGACCACATGACCAAGAGGCTGACCAGGAGGCTTTGCTCCTGAAACATTCCTAATAAACAATGACTTGGGACGCAGTCATCCCCCTTGAACCAAGGCAGGTTGGGCTATGCCTCCATTAACAGGAAAAACGAGAAAATTAGGTAGAACTTAATGCTGCTTTAAGTCTTTACCTGTAAAATAGCAAGACTGTTTCTAGAAGGTGTCCCATGCACCTTTCTCCTTTGGCCTTTGTTAAGTACAACACTCACACTTAACAGCTTAAAAAGCAAGAACTATATTGCTGACAGAAATAACTGGCTCTTCACTTAGCAATGAAGAGGTTGCATGACTGCAGTTCCACTTACAAAATATTTCTTTTCAAATTACTAAAAAAGTATCTATAATTCTATACCCTAGGGAAAACATACTGGAGTTTAGAAAGCAACAGAATTTTATTGTTTTATAACACTGCATTTAAAACCAAAGTAGAAATGTGACTGAGCAGCATTTTTTCTAGTTTCTGCATCTCTAAATTGCCATAAATCTTACCCCTGAGTTCGTTTAACTGACTGGGGGAAACAGCAGACTCCATGCAAGCTAAACTGGAACAACAAAATTCTCTGCACCCTTCAGTACGTATTTCTCGTTAGGCTTTTTCTAAATTCTCAAATTACTTTTTGTGTGTGAAACAGTTTTTGAAGACCACTTAACAAGTGCAATCATATTAGATAGAAATTGATGTGAACTAAACTTATTTTCAAAAACTACACACCCTAAAGGTAAGCACCTTTTAAGGGAAATGTTGTAACTTATCTCTTGAAAGAATTAAGATTCAACCACAAAATCCCTTTGGATAAAAACAGAAATTCAAAGGCAATGAAGACAGACACAAACATTTTTCAAGAAATAGTTTTTAGAGAACATAAATAAAGGCTTTTTAATGGAAATTCTATCATAATAAAACAATATGTATGAGAAGAATAATAATACAACTCTAACGTGATTATACGAACAAGTTATGATCCTTTCAAATCTTTAGGTTGTCACAATTTAACTTCTTTGTGTGATACCTTCATGTTTCCTAAACCTATGCTCTAAAAGCAGAACTTTCCTATAACATTTCACAAAGAAAAAAAAATTGGGTTGACTCATGATCCAACATTAAATTGCACCACTCATTCAAAAAAATAAATAACTGATACAGATTTTTTTAAGCAGAAGACAAAATTATATTACAGAGGATATGATACTCATATTATATAAATGCTCCCACTATTTAATTAAGGATTCTGATTTATCTTCTGCCTAAAACCAAAGTATATTCACTGAAACCAATTTATAAGTACAAAACTGAAACAGTCAAAAAAGTATGGGTATTTTTTAAAAGACAACTAACCACAAGAATTTGACTAGGTTTTTAAAATACTTATATACATTAAAAAGTCCAATCTACTGATGACATATTTTGTCTATAAGCTCTCACATTATCACTGTTGACCAGATTCAGAGAACCTCTCTCATGACAGAGGCTCCATTCAGAATGGGTTTTTTGTTCTGCACTGTTACTTCTGCTAACCTTGTAAAAATCCAATACTGGCTATTGAGTGGGCTATTAAAGTAATTAGAAAAAATTGTATTCTCTCTCCTAAATGAAAATTACTAACATAAAAGTGTAATTGTTAACTCTGAAATTAACATGAAATCTAAATTAACATTTAATCTATAAAATATACAAATCCTCTTAAATTACTCCGAAAGTTTCCAAGAAATGTCTGATATTGTTTGATTTCCACTCAAGTTATTTCCATTTAATCCTTACCAGAAGTAAGGTACATAAGCAGTAAACAAACATGTCACTTTTATCTTCTATTTCTGTAGATAAATCCCTTCAGGAAAATGTGAAACAACAGTAGAAAATTAAAACCAGATTTTGTTTCTTGCATAGGATTAACCCACTCAGAAACGTGGTCACACCAGTCTCAAGTGTTAATTAGGACTGCACTTATTCTGCAACAACACAAAACAATCAAAACCAAAATTACATCATAATTCCTCTTGCAAAAAGTGAGTTTAATCAACATTAGCAACATCACCTGGGTTGGGTTTGGTTGTTTTGTTTAAAAAAAACCCTTCTCCAAATCCAGGGTAGTCAGTTCACCTGGTAGCTTCCAGAGATAGCCCACATTATCCCTAGTGTGTCTTTTGTTAGAAACATACCTATAGAAGGCCCTTCCTGTTATCTTTCACATCCCTTTCCAGACTCAATTCTAACTGGGCCTTAGCTTTCATGACCTGGTCCCTGGCTTCCCGGACAATGTCTCTGTATTCATCCCAGGCCACCTGTCCTCACTTCCACCTTCTATAAGCTGCTTTTTCCTTCTAAGTTTCCTCAGCAGCTCCTTATCCATCCATGGAGGTCTCATGGCCCTCCTGCCGCACTTCCTTCTAGTCGGGACATAACACTCCTGAGCTTGTAGCAAGCGTTCCTTGAATATCAACCAGCAGTCTTGGGCCCCCCTGCCCTCTAGGACTATATCCCATGGCACCTTACTAAGCAGGTTCCTGAAGAGGCCAAAGTCTGCTCTCCTGAAGTCCAGGGCAGTGAGCTTGCTGCATGCTCTTCTCACTGTCCTGAGGATCTCAAAATCCACCAAGGTTGCCCTGGAGCATCACATTTCTAAGCAGTCCCTCCCTGTTGGTGAGCGCAAGGTCAAGCACGGCACCTCTCCTTGTCAGCTCCTCTATTACTTGTAAGGCAAAGTTGTCTTCCAAACAATTGAGGAACCTCCTGGATTGCTTGTGCCAGGCCATACCATCCCTCCAACAGGTATCAGGATGGTTGAAGTCCCTCATGAGGACAAGGGCCTGCAAGTGTGAGGATGCTCCTATCTGTTTGTAGAGAGCTTCATCCACAGAATCCTCCTGATTAGACAGCCTGTAACAGATCCCTACTGTAATGACCCCCATTGCCATTCTCTCTTTGACCCTGACCCACAAGCTCTCTATTGGCTCATCACCCAGGCAGAGTTCCATACTCTGCAGCCTATCACTGACATAAATAGCTATAACCTCTCCCCGTCTGCCTTGCCTGTCTTTCCTAAGGAGCTACAACCTTCCATTCCAACACTCTAGTCATAGAAGCCATCCCACCATGTTCCTGTGATCCCAACAATGTCATACCCCTGTAGCTGTGCACACATCTCTAATTCCTCATCCTACAGGTGTTTGTATAGAAGCGTCTGAGCCAGCCTCCAAATAAAGCTGACTCGTTGCCTGGAGCAGCTGAATATTTACTACTACCTATCTTTTTTTTCCCCAAAAAATGAATTTTGGAGATCTTGTAGCTCACTCAAGAATACTTAGATTTGTTATTTTGCTTAACAGTCTCACCTGTCCTCACACACATCTACCAGCCTCTTGCTTTCACTAATTTCAAATTTGATAAACTTTAAGCTTGGTAAACCCCTTATATATAATGAATATTAATGTACCGTACAGCAGATCTTATAAATAAACTAAAAATAAATGCTAGTAGTGCAAAGGAAATAAGAAGAGAAAGGATAAAGCTCATTGTACCATGATAAAGTGACAAACTCTCAATATTGTGACAGCATCAAAAAGCTTTAGTTAAGAATTCATGCAGCATTCATTGTGAATAAACACATGCTTACCAAATTATATTGCCCTTTCTGGAAGAACCAACACAAACCAACCAAACCTTTAAGCAACAGCAGACAATTGTAATGTAATCTTTAAATCGGGAGCACTACTCAGAAGAAGATACAGCTCTGATTCAAGCACAAGGGACTGCAGGAGTGAATAGACAGTGCTGGATCAAATACTGCATCACCAGCATCAGTGGAATAAGCTGAAGTGGTTTTGGCCTCCTAACAAACCTAATTAAGGCTACATTAAGTACACTTTACATAATTCTGTAAGGTAGACCTTCCATGGATATAACCTTTGAACTGGACAGATACATATGCCTGAACTAACAACAAGTATTCATACAGGTGCCTGTTCCACTCAAAAGCACCTTTGCATGTAGAACCTAAAAAAAAAAAAAAATCACCTTAAGTTATCAAATAATTTTATTATTAACAACCTTTTTGGAGCATTGGTCACATTTTCAATAGCTCACTTTACTACATTGCCTCATAATACAGTTTTTATACATCCCATTCATCTTTCATGCCTGAAATAAAGATGCTTCATTTTTTCTTCCTTTTTCTCTTTTGCCTAGTAGTTTTTAATCAAATAAAATTAAATGACATTTTATCCTCCTGATCCTATAAATACCGGAAAAGATTATTACATGAATTCCTCCTGCAGTGACTCACCGTTCCATTGTTAAGTTATGACAGCCCCATCAGAGTTCCCCTCGGGAATTTTCTAATCAGTTTGTGACTGTGTTTTAGAAACCATTTTGCTCCTTCATGACATACAGACAGAAACAAACAAAAACTTTATAGTTTTCATTTTACAACTAGCTCTAAGATCGAGATACAAACACTTCATCTTCCTCATTTTTGTATACGAAACTTTTCACTGACAAGCTACCACCTAATGAATACCTTTTAGGCGCTTCATTTTACTATGACTGAAGTCATCTGTAATTCCACAGCTCATAAAGGTTACTCCAGAATACCTGGTAACCTTTGCAATTATTTTTCCTTTACTATGTAGCAAAAAGAGATTGCAGAACTTATACAAAATTGAAACTCAGACATGACACAAATTGAAACT